AAGTTGTACAAGTAGGAGGAAACTAAATGAGTTAACGAATCTTTTTAAAAACTTATTATTTTTTAAAACTTCTTATTGGGAAAATTATCAAATATACACAAAAATAGAGGGAAGAGAAACCCTCCCCCCTTATGTATGTAGTACCCAGCTACGTACATAGTTATCGATGGGGGGCCATCTTGTTTCACATGTAACACCTTGCCCTCCAATTGCAGAATTTACAACAAATTCTGGATATCACATTTCATCCAAAAATATTTCAGTATGTATCTCTAAGATTTAAACAGCTTTAACGAGGCATAATTGACATAGAATAAATGGGAGGAGACATTTTCCCTAATCCCCTCCACCCTAACACCACTATTCATTTTTGTGTACCTCTAGGCCTTGACCTCCTGCAGAATAATAGTTAGTATTTTAAGGATGGCAAGAATTATTCAGACAGTTGTGAGTCTTAATAAAGTTCCCTATAAAGAATAAACTATGTTTCCAGGAAAAACGGTGACTCTGCTACTGACAACAGTTAGTACATACAGAGCAGAGTGCACTGTTTCCTGTTTTTCTTTGCAGAGGCCCAACTCTGGAATTCCCCTTGTTTGCCCATGATTTAAATCTTGTCTGTATCTTGTATTCTTAATACAGCACACCAAAAAAGTGTGCTATTCTTTTAAATATCCACAGTGTGCCTGAAAAATATTAAATTTTTAAATTTTAAAGTATTTAATTATACTTAGAATCTAGGTTTTGATTCATTAACAATGGTATAATAGGAGTCTAAAGAACACTGCAGCCTGTGTCTGGATTCCATCCTTCCTACCTTCCCTGGAACCTTATAATGTTGATATCCTTTATTTTTCTATACTTTCAGTCTCTTTTACTGGATCTTTCTCATCTTAAAGGGAAAAATTCAACCTGTCCTCATTTCTTCTTCAGCTACAGCTCTTTCTTCTCCCTGTCCAGAAGGCCAGATTTTCTCCAGTTGTCTGTTTGATGGCTCCATTTCTCTGCCTCCTGGACAATCCTCAGTCCCCTCTGCTGTCTTCCACTCCTATCGTTCCACTGACACAGCTCTCACTAAGGTGCTCACTTCATGTTGCCAAAACCAGTGAACATATTTCAGTCTTTAGTTGACCTCTCACCAGCTTTCAGCTGTGTTGCCTAATTCTTCCTGACACTTTGAAGGAAACAAAGTGTCTTTTCCTTCTCACTTTCAGGCTGTTTCTTTCTGGACTCCTTTGATGGCTTATTTTCCCCCACCCAACCTTATTTAGAGTTCCTCTCTGCAGCTTTCTTCCTAGGAAGTCTCATTAACTCCTATAGCTTTTTATGACTCTCAATTTCTTACCTCTAGTTTAGCCTCTTTTGATTCCTATGTCAACATATCCAACTTGCTGTCTTGATAACTTCACTTGGCTGTCTCACAGACACCTCAGATTCAGTGTGTCTTAAACTGGATTTTTCATCTTCTCCCTAAAGCCCGGTCCTCTTTCAGTATTATCTAACCCGGTGCCTCTTCTCAGATATGAAATCTGTGCATCTTTCTTAACTTCTTCCTCTCCCTCCGTTCTTGAATCCAGTCAACAACCAAATGCTGTTGTTTTCACCCACTGAACACCTTCTGATTCTGTCCACTTCTTTTCATTTGTGCTAGTAGTTGAATCCAAGTAATCTCTTTTCACTACCATTACTACAATAACTTCTCCTTTTGGCCCTCTCCAACCTGCTTTCTACCTGTAGGTGTCATGGAGTAGCCTTTTAAAACCAATTTGATCATGCCATTCCCCTGCTTTAAAAGCTGTGTCCCTCTAGCCTTTAGGGAAGGAAGGACTGAAAGCTTGCACTTGTATACCCTGAAATTAAGGTGAGAATAGATGGCATGAAGAAACCTTCCAGTACTAAAGGGAAAGTCCGACCACCGACTCAGTAAAATTCAAATTTAAAAATATTCACTATTTTCAGATTGAAAAATTAGTTACCTAATATAGTCATTATGATAGAAGGAAGTTGAAGTCTTCCTGTCCTTTGCTTTTCAGTGTAAGAGTAGTCTCTTTTGAACCAGTTCAGTTATCTGCTTTTGAACATCCTCCCTTGGTATTCAGAACATTATATTATTATTTATGAGTGTATATTAATATCCCTCTTTCAGAAGCATATCAGTTCACAAACATCTCCATTAATTAATTTATTCTTTCAAAAAACATTTCTGGGTGAGATTAGTGGTGGCCTGAGTGCACCATGGTGACTCTTCTCTCCCAACATCTTCCTGCAGTAATTCACCTGTTAGAATACATCACTTAACCTGGAGATGTGGACCAAGTGTACCCTTCTGCTAAGCCTCAAACACATCTTTCTGGAGGAAATGATGCAGATTTAGAACTGTTAGAAGTTGCTTCTGTGTGTTCACAGGGCAAGGGATGATCAAGACTCGCAGTGGCCTGGAAGTAGATCTCTGAAATATGCCAGTCCCTTGCCTGCTTAAGAGGGCCCTTTGGCTAAGCCACTTGGCACCCTCTACACATCAGGAACTGTTGCCCCTGCAAGGTAGTTGCACAAGGCCTTGGGAAAAGTCTGCAGTCCTGCAGATACCATTATCCCATGGAACCTAAGTGCTATCCTTTTTCTTCAACTGGAGATTTCCCTTTTCTGCTCATATGTGGAGTGTGCCAAGAACCTAAAGGCCCCCTTCTCTACCCATCAGTCAAAGGACTTAATGGGGAAGAAACCCTAACAATTTGTCCTGCCCAGGTGTTGAGAAAATTCACATCCTCTGATGGTAAAGATACGTTTGTGTGTGTCTGTACAAACAAACAGCTTCCTAACAAGGCAAATTTCATGGAAATCTAACAGTATATTACCAAGAAGAAAAAAGGCACAAAACTACTGTTAGCATCTTCTTTCCCTACCTTAATCCTAGAAAAGAGGAGGTAGCATTGTTTCTTAAGGCTCTTTTAGGGACTCAGGCTGTATCATCCCAGATAAGAGGATGAAGGGAAGTATGTTGAACAGGGTGGGTGGAAATAGACAGAGAGTCTAGGAAAGAGGGTGGAAGAGACCAGCGCATTGCTGGCACGTGGGATCCCAGATCAAAGGATGGCTATGGGTGTCAAGTCTGTGGTTAGGGGCAGGGAGTCTGTATGAGGCACCCTTAGGGCACCTGAAGTAGCATTGTGCAGGAAATCCACGCATTGTGCTAAGAAATAGAAAAATTGAAGAACATAGACAAAGGATCTAGACCCTCCCTTGGTCTCCTGACACCATTTTAACCTAAAATTTTTCTATAATCCTGTGGAGCAGGGCCCCAAAAGACAGGTTGAATTTCTTCTCCACCTTTCTAAAAGGGGCTTGAGGTAACTCAATTTGGAGAAGTAAAGAAATGAGAGTATTTTGCTCCCTAGTTTATAGACTCTAATTCATATAGTCAAACATTTTGAGAGGAAAAGATAAAAACCTATGGATACAAATTCTCAAAGAGATTTAAAAATATTGCAATGATGAGATCTCATAACAAAGAGCTTCTGAAAAAATAACCATAATTGAAAAATGAAGTTATGTACCACTGAAAAAATTACTGATCTAGAACTGGGGTCACCAAACTACTGCTTGTAGGCCAGATGTACCCTGCCACCTGTTTTTGTAAATAAATGTTTACTGGGACACAGCCACCCTCATTTGTTTACGCATCGTCTATAGCTGCTTTCATACTACAGTGACAGGCTGGAGTCAAAGCTACGACAGAGACTGTATGGCCTGCCAGCTTAAAATCTTTGCTCTCTGGCCTGTAAGAAAAAATTTGTGGATTCTGAAGAGGATCAAGTGGAGTTCTTTTCCAACACAGCGAAACTATAAAGAGAAATAAAAATGATGGATGAAAATGTAAGAAACTTGGAAGATAACAACATACTCGCTCTCACACACAAACACACATTCAAATGTGCAGGTAACAGGAGCTCCAGAAATAGCAAAAAGGATCACAAGGAGCAATATCAAAGAAATAATATAAGAAAACTTTTCTAAGATATAGCAAAACCTGTGTTCAGATCTAGAGGGACCAGCACATGCCCATACAGAACACTGTAAGGAAAACCCAACAAACTTCGAGGTCGCCTAGTGTTCCTGTTGAACTCTGAGGATGAACATCAATATTTCAAAGGAAATCAGGCTTCTTTTGGGATTCTATCTGCAGCAATAAAAGCTAGAGGGCAGTAAAACAATGTATACTGGCTTCTAAAATCGATGCCTTTATCTCTGGAAAAATCTCAAATGATCAGTGAAACAAGCAGCAGGGTAGGAAATATCTCTGATGAGGTGGGTGGGCATACTGGTGGGGCAAGGACTCCAGCTGGTAGCTGAAGGTACTGGGAAGCAGGGTCCAGCACCTGTAAGAAGTGGTTGCCAAACATTAGGAGGAGTCAGTGAGCCCCAGCATAGTGGACTGAGTTTGGATAGGGTTTTGTTCCAGCCAGAACAGACCAGAAAACAGTGAATGGACTAGGACCAAATCTTGCCCATACAGAGCAGCTGACAGCTTCATTCCAGCATGGAAGGGTAGTTGGATGTAATCGAAGTAATAAACATCAAAATATAATCAGTTTGTTAATGTTAAAAGTCATAATGTTCTACTCAAATCACACTATATTCTTTGTTAACAGTAATAGTGACTGATGATAATTTTACATTTGTGTCATTTTTTAAAAAAGAATAAAACTTAAATGGTTATTGTACAAATATGTCAATGACCAAAGCCAAACCAAATAATCTATTTCAAGTTCAAATTATAACCTAATATTTTGCTTTACCAGTCATTTTTTTGTACATATATTCCTTTTGTGGATTTCATCGTAAGAGTTAATTGTGGTAGTCCAATATTTAGGTATTTCTGTATCCTGGGGAAATTTATTATATTATTAAACAAAGTCATTCATTCATAGCATATAAATCCATCAGAATAAGTTTTTCATTACCAAGATCATTTTCTCAACACACTGTTCTCCATATTTTAGAAAAGGCGCCGGCGGATTGACCGAAGTATGATTGGAGAGCCAACAAACTTTGTACATACGGCTCATGTAGGATCCGGAGATCTGTTCAGTGGGATGAATTCAGTAAGTATATTGGTGGGACATGCAGATGGGGCTTTGGGGCACAGACATATGTAACCTGTGTGACACATACATATGTTTTTCATGATTACACCGTGCTAAAAGAATTTGTCGACATTGAATATCAATATATAATGTGAGTATAGAAGAGAGAAGAAAATGAACAATTAAAAATTAATCTCTCCTATAATTTGCTAACATATTCATTGGTCCCTGTTTCTTGGATTAAACTCTTCATAGCTACCTTTCTCCTGAATACATACTTTTAACCTTTAAAGGGCTTGATTCAGAATGGAAGTTAATATCCCATTGATTCTCATGCTCCCACCAAAGGGACTTGGAGATCAGCCTTTTAGCAATATTTAATCTCTTATTGTTCTCTTAAGTTCAGTTAGTTGCCTTTTGCAAACATGTTTATTGTGTTTACCTTATAAAATATTAGCCTTTACCTGATGATATTAGAATGTGATTTATTTATTAGTGTAATCTAAGTTCTTGTGTACTAAGCAGAGGATTAGAATTTGCCCGTATTTGCTATCTTTTATAGAGGGTTCAGTGAATTTCAGAATAGGCTTTAGATTTATTCAGCTGAACTCTTATTCCTTAATTTTCGTCTAAGAGAAAAACAGTGCGATGTAATGGAAGCACCACCAAATGAGGGTTTTTATCAGGGCTCTTTCTCATTTTTGCCCTGAAGCAAGCCACTAAGTATCCAGAGCCTCTTTCCCTCAAATCTAAAGTAAGAAGATGTGTCTAGATGATCCCCAAAGTGTTTAGAACCAGAAAATCGATGAGGCTTTTAAAACACAAAATCATGACCCACTGTATACTCACTCACTGGACAGCCTCAACAAAAGACCTAACAAGAGAAGAGAGACTTTAAAATAGGTAGGTGGGTATCCTGGATACAGCAAACAAGTTTGTCACTTTAGTTACTAGGTAAGCAAAGGAATGACATTTGTAGCTTCCTGGAAAGGAAACAGCTTGTTTGTTTTAAATCTGTAGGAAAAGTACTTTGTTTCACTCAGCTGCTTCTGTGGAAATATAAGAAGTGTCAGGTTGCTGTCAAAGTATAGTTCAGCAGCTTTGTTTCCTGGATCAGCGTGGAATGAAAAGACCAAATGGGACCCTACGACTTTTGTTAATATGGTTATTATAATATATATAAATACAATATATATGTGATGAATTTAAATTTCTTTCTCATCAACAAATGTCTTCTTCCCCACTTCAGGTTTTTAAAAAAATCTAACTATATAGGACAAATTAAATTTTTAGTTCATGGTATTTAAGTTTTTATATCTTGTTTATGCACATTTCAGAATTTCCTTTAAGATTCTTATCTGGCATTTTGTCTCCCCGAAAAGCTTATTCTCGATGTAGGTGACTCTTGCTTGCCATCGATTTAGGTAGAACTTTAGGACATGCAGGCCTTCCACGTCTGCCTCCTGGGGAGAACAAGAGTGTCTCCCAAAGGCCTTTTGTAGTCATTGCCTGTGTTAGCTTGTCTCCACAGTGATACGCAGCCCCTGACCTTCACAGAGCACCCAGTTCTTCAGGCAGTTCTGTTAGGCAGAGTATCATACAATCCCTAAGTTTCCTGAAAGTGTCATTGGTAGTTCTAACTTATAAGCCTGATTTGGTGAGAGAATTCTGTTCTCCTGTGCAATAACGGTACAAATGAGACAAAACCATAAATATGTTGTTTCTCCAAAGAAATAGTTTCTCAAGTTTGTCTATCCTAAGTAAGAACTGAGCAGCTGGTATTAGGCACATGGCTTGATGTGTATGAAACAGCCACGCCACTCTGGATTATTGAATGGTCAAATGACGTGTAGTTTCTTTTTTCTTTAAATAACACTTTTCTTCCCAAGACTACCTTTCATACTAACTTCTTGCTAGAAAAGGTTTCTGTGACCCTTTTAATAATATAGGCCTGTTGTGTTAAAACATTATATATCCACGGTCACAATAATATGTTCAGTCTTAACACTGAAGGGTTACTTATTATTAGAAAATTCAGATCTTCTAGTTTGAAATCAAAGAATTGACTTTTGAAGGAAAAAGTTTTTTTCTTGCTTAGAATCTGCATGGCATTATGAATGCACCATGTAAAAATATAAAGATGTTGTTGTTTTTTAAATAGGCCTAAAATATCTATAAAAGCTAACATGTCATGTTAGGTGGGAAATTATTTGGTACTGGGGTGAAAATCATGTTTGTGCCACAACACATGATATGACCAGAAAGGAGCAGAAAGCAAATTTGAACTGATAGCATATGGCTGTAGCCTCCTCAGACTGAACAAGTTTACTTAAAATAAATACAGACATACCTCAGAGATGATGTGGGTTTGGTTCCAGACCACTGCAATAAAGCAAGTATCGCAATAAAACTAGTCACCCGAATATTTTGGTTTTCCAGTGCATAGAAAAGTTATGTTACACTATAATGTAGTCTAAGTGTGTAATAGCATTATGTCTTAAGAAAAAAAGGTACATACCTTAATTAAAAAATACTTTGTTGCTAAAAAATGCTAATCATCATCTGAGCCTTCAGCAAGTTGTAACTTTTTGCTGGTTGGAGGGTCGTGTAAAAGCTGCAATATCTGCGAAGCATGATAAACAAGGTGAACCTGTAGGCCTATAGGTTTCAGTTTCTTTTTCATAGACTTACCTAAAATAGTCATTTGAGTAATGTGCATCTAGATACTCCAGTAACACATTACAGTCGTGTGTCACCTAACAGTGGGGATATGTTCTGAGAAATGTGTCGTTAGGCGATTTCGTCGTGTGAGCATCATAGAGTGTACTTACACAAACCTAGCTGGTATAGCCTACTGCATACGAGCCTACAGGGTGCTAATCGTGTGGGACCACTGTTGTCTATGCAGTCTGTCGTTGACTGAAATGTCGTTAGACGGCACATGACTGTATGTGATATCATTGGAGTAAGATGTTCCACATAAGTAAATTTTTCAGCAAATGGGTAAAAATGTACCCATTTAAGAGCCAACTACATTTACTCACTTAACCCTTTTGGATCTTAATAGGCCATGCATTTTATATTTTGCTTTTCTCTTCTATTAGAATATATTTAAACCTGCCTTACTCCAAAAACTTAGGCAAGTCTTATTACTTTCTTTAAACGTGTTGACTCAGGATCACCAATGAAAAAAGCACCTCACATGTCATGTTTTCTATTATATTAAGTGTTCAGTAAGTATTTGATAAGTAGATTAATTAATAGATGGTACTCCCAACCCCCGTCCTTCCCCCGATCTCCACCTCCTGGAATTGTGGAAATGTGAAGGGCCCTTTGAGCTGGTTCCGTATATTTATACCAGTTTCCCAGTGCTCTGACTCTTCACTGTCAGATCATCACCTCCAAAACCACCATATTGCTCCCTTTTTTTTGGAGGAAGATCTGCCCTGAGCTAACATCTGCCAATCCTCCTCTTTTCTTGCTGAGGAAGACTGGCCCTGGGCTAACATCCATGCCCATCTTCCTCCACTTTATATGGGACGCCGCCACAGCATGGCTTGACAAGCGGTGCGTTGGTGCGTGCCCAGGATCTGAACCGGCGAACCCCGGGCCGCCACAGCGGAGCGCACACACCCAACTGCTTGCGCCACCGTGTCGGCCCCTTGCTCCCTTTTTCTAGCCGTCTAGCCTGATTCTCTTACTCTCTGTTTCCAAACTGTTTCTAATTGATATGAACTAAGATCGGAATAATGATGATAGGCTAAGAGCACTTCACAGTTTGCAAATAACTTTATGTGCCTTTGTTTCAACAAAGTTAGAAATTATCCCAGCATTCATATAGTTCACAATCTGTCAGCAAATAGCCCTGTAATATGGTTAGGAGAGATTATCGTGTTAACCATGTTACGGATAAGAAGGCTGATATTCAGAGAGGATAAATAGTTCACCCAGAGTTAGAATATTAATAAATAAATCTGGACTACAATCCAACTCTTTGGATTCTCGGACTCTTTTTTACTTTATCAGACTATATTAAGACTGTATCAAGTATGTAAATTTTACCACATGGACTTTAAAATTTTATCTTTGGCTGGTCCAATTTCATTCACACTTATTTTGTTTCTGATTCTATTAAGTAATTGAAGTGATCATATATGTGAGGTGTCTGTAAGTTAAGATACTTGAGGTTAAGGAACAGAAAGTTGAGTTGATCTGTATACTTCTCACTGTTTTTGAAATGCTGCCAAGTGCTTTGTGAATTACAAAACTGACTTTTTGTAATTGGGAAGTAGAGAAAGCAGGGAGAAGAGGAAGCTATGCAAAAAAAAAAATGTTTCAATTACTAGCCTCACCATTTGCCCTTATAATCAGAAAAATTTTAAGTCTATAAAAAAATTACAGAGTTTTTTTCTATAAGAAGTACCCTTCTGAGAAAGGCAGCCCAGCTAAAATGTTGAGACAAGAATGGCTTAGTTGCAATGGCCCTAGTTCCTGACTTGTTTTGTTTTGTTCTTTTTGTCTTGTTTTAGGTTAGCTCCATTCAGAACCAGATGCAGTCCAAGGGAGGCTACGGGGGCGGAATGTCTGCCAACGTGCAGATGCAGCTCGTGGACACGAAGGCAGGATAGCCCCGGATCCCTTCTCCAGTGAGTACCTCAGAGCAGGGCGTCATGGTCATACGTTGCCGACAGACAGCTGACAACATAGACAGCTTTAAGTCTTGGGCTTAAAAATATATGTTTTGTTCTCTTTTTTAAAAAATTGTGAATAACTGGAAAAGGCAAAAATAATTTACTAGGCTAAGGATTTCAAGTGATGATCATAGGTAGTTACTGCATGTTTTGATTATTAGTTTTACGTTGCTCTTTTCCTTATGAAGAACTTTAAATGCTTTAAGACATCTGGTTGGGGAGGAGGCTCTGACTGAGATTCTGGTGACAAGATGCTATTTATGTATCCTTTAGACAAGAGTGAAATTATTATTTTGAGTACTGATACTGCAGGGAATCCAGTGTGTAGTGAAGTAATTTTATATTTAACACTGCATTATTGATAGAATTTTCAAATTAAAAAAGAAAAGACAACTTTTAAAAAGGATGAGTCCCTGAAGTGTAAAAATAATTTGGATTTTTCTTTTGGTTTTATAGGTCATTGTGAATTTCTGTGTTTTCTCTTTCCACTATTCTTTAATTTTTTTGCCGTGATTGCTTTTCTTTTCTTTTCAATTACAAAAGAGAAGTGTGATGGCGTCTTGTTCACCCTGTTGTGATTACTCCAGTGAGACGTTACTGTTCTGCTCCGAAGAAGCTATTTTCAGACGAATCCTGCATTTCCTTCAGCTGGCATGCATGCCTTTGGACTCATGGACAGAGCTCTTTGGATTGTGGCTTAGTTTTCAATTTTTATCACTATGGATCTGATCTTAGCATGATCTTTTTTGTGAATGCTAGCACTATTTTTTCCATTTTAAACATTTCTCTTTCCACCTCCCACCCTCTGCCTTATGATTTTATTGGTAAGCAAAGACCTACTATTATGTTAATTAGTCACCATTTATGTATATTTGGAAGGTATGAGACCCACAAGCACAATGATCATTTTTATTCATTTGAAGCTTCAGCAGAGTAGATTTCTGCATGCTATATGAAGTTGCTTCATATGGGAGCCCATGGGATGCCAGAAGTGAACATTTCTTTGCTGCCATGGGCTGATGATACTGCTGCTATTAGAGAAGGGTTAGGTGTGGCACCAAGTCACGTCAGTTCTACAAAAAGGTAACTTGTAGCTTGTTTTAGAAGTATGACTTTTTGGTCTATTACAATAAAAGAAAAGCTTGCATTCATAAGGCATTCATTCTGTTGTAAATGTTCAGGATATTTATTTTGAGAACAAGGACCTGTGATTGTAAACAGGTATGGTATGTATCTGAGTGTTGTGGTAGTACCCTCATCCAGTCCAGTTCTGAGCATCATCATCTTTGTAGCTGTTCATTTCTTTGTGTACTCATTCTGTTTTTACTTGTTTTTATTTTATGTTTAACATTGTGGTATCCAGTTGTTTCCAGTAACAGTTTGTGGAACTTCTGGCCTCTACTATGAACTGCAGACTCCACAGTCATTGGCCTATCCATATTCTACATATTTTGGGGCAATGGAAGTTGCCAAGAACAATACACTGACCTGGCTGAATTGTTTGCCCATGAAAATAACCTGTATGGTGACTTTTTATGGTATTGATGAGAAATCTTTACTAAGGTTCCAAAATATGTTTATTCTTCACAAACTGTGTGTATTTCAGATATTTCTGTAAATGCTTCTCCTTCCCCATAAGGGTGTAGTGTTAAGCCAGTTAGTGGTTTGTATTCTCATTGAAATGTTTAAATCTTATGTCCAATTCAGTCCTGTCTAACTATATTTGGTAGAATTAACATTTCATGCAGCAAATGGGGGTTCATTGAAAACTTATTTAGAGAGCTATAAGGAATTAGGTAATTGAATAAAGAAATTTTCTTTTATCCCTTTCCCCTCACCTTAGTTCCAGGTTCATGTGAAAAAGGTAATTGAATAAATATTAGGTTTATATAGGCGAAACATGAAAGCATTTCTCCTCCAATTCTTTTGAATTTAATTTACCCAGTACAGTGGTACACTAGATTGCTCAATCTTTGTATTTCTGAAATTTTGAGCCTTCATAGGTGTCAATCCCAAACAGGCACAGAATTTGTCAAGGAAAAACATTTATGCTTAGTAATCAAAATAGGCATTTTGCAGTTTAATAACTTCTAAACTTTAATTCCTCTAGTGTCATTAATTCACTGTGTGGGTATTGCATTCTGGAATTTGCCTGAGTACACTGTCACTCTGCTTAGCCAGAGTCAGTGTCCTGCCAGGGGTACTGCTGTGTGCAAGCTCCTCAGAAGACAGATTGGATTTTCTTGGCATTGTCAGCACTGATGGTATTTAGTCTACTTCTATTTTGACTTTTAAAATTAGTACAAGTTTTATACTTGTCATATCACTCCTAGAACAACAATAGGTCCCTTTTCCCCAACTCATGATTTGATTTTATTCTTTTTTCCAATCGCTATCTTTTCTGCTTCTCCAAGGACCAAATACTCCAGTGAGCGCTGGAGCGTCTCTCCATGGTAAGCCAAAGGCTGCACTGTGCAGCCGCCACTGACTTCACAGTAGCCACACTGTGCACAAGAGCACATGCCAAGGAAGGTGCCAATAAATTCAAGAAATAAGAAAATTACAAAAAATTCTAAGATAGTAACCTTGGACACACACTTTTTTAGAGAGGCTTGAAGATATCTGAGAGTGTGAAGGGAGGTGGCTTTCCTATATTCATAAGTGGGATTGTAAATCTCGAGAGGTCATTTGTTCCCCATAGCAGCGTATCTCATTTTAAAATAGAAGCTAATTAAATAAATAGGATTGACGGTTAATACTTTGAAATACATGCTAACAACCATTAAGCAAGGGACACTGAATGAAGGTTTAACTAAGGACATGGATTCTGTTATCAATGATCTGCATTCTGTAAAACAGGTGCTTTCCCATGACGTGGGCATGAAGTGGTGCCAATAACCATGGAGCGGAAATGTTAACTGTGGCAATTGGGTTAGCATTTCCAACGCGGCATTATCAGTGGGTCTTGAAAGATACTTGGTGAGAGTATTAGCTTTCACTTTTGTTATTAAATTATAGCAGTTTCATTACAGAGAGCAAGTTTGCCTTGATTTTGTTTAAAATGACTTCTGCTCAGCACCCAGAAGATAAAATTGACATATTTTTATAATATAAGCATACTTTTTTTGTACATTGTGTTCATTCTTGAATAAAGTGAGTTCAGTGTTGGCTTGTAGATATTAAAAAGAAAATATTGATTTTGATTCAATAAATGTTTTCTTTCAATCCTGGTTTGGTTTTTCCTTTCCTTTAGTTCGTGTAGATTTTTTTTCTTTCAAGGAATTATTTACCAGAATTCACTTAGAGCACCTTTTTAGCATTCTCATATTTTCAGTTATGACTACGATTAGGCAAAAACAATTTATCACTTTTCTCTTTACAAGTTTAGAAATTTAAAAAATTTTTATGTAAGATAGGGAGAAAATTATTCAGCAAAGATAAAAGTGGAAATGAGTGGAGTTTTTTTTTAATATATTAATATCCCTTTCATTCAAATTTTTATTACCTGTCATCCTCACAGATGATATCTGATTTTTAACAAAGGTATCAAATACCTACTCAGTTTTCCATGCTGACGTATTTTGTCTTCACAGTATATTTAGGATATAAAAAAAATTAAGTAAAATTAAGAATTCTATTTCTCAGTCATAGCCACATTTGAAGTGCTCAATAGCTTCACATAGCTATCAGCTACCATGGTTTATAGAACATTTCCATCATCACAAAGTTAGGGCTGTTTAGATCTTCCCCCTAAAATAGTTGAGGACAGTGGTTCCCATTGGGGGTGATTTTCCCCACGTAACATTAGGCAGTGTCTGGAGATACTTTTGGTTGTCACAACCTGAGGGAAGGGTGCTCCTGACATCTGGTAGGGTTAGAAACCAGGGAGGCTGCTAAATATCTACGACACACACTCAGCTCCCACAACAAAGATTTATCCAGCCCCAAATGTCATCGTGCCACAGTTGAGAAACCCTGGTTTAGGACAGAAGATCTAGATACTAACCAAATACATCCTGTGGCAGACTTCACTGCATCAGCCTTTGTGCAGAGGTCAGTGAGGTCTGGCTTATCATGAGAATTGCCACACACTATCCTAGAATAGAAAAATCAATAAAAAATATATTATGGAAGCATATTTCAAAAAGTTTTGATAATTTTTGTCCTCATCTCATGGCCAAAGACTCCAAAAGGAAACAGGGTTAACATGAAGTTCTTTGCAATATAAAATACTGACGATTCAGTAAGACATCCTGATTAAGAAAAAAGTATCTGAAGAAACCGATGTTGGTATGATAGCAGCAGCTCTGTTTTGAGCTCATGTTTTCAAAGGATGTGCATGAAATGTGGAAGGGTTCATAAGCACAAAAGGTAGGGCAAGTCTGTAAAACTAGTGTCAGTCTGGAATTTCATAAAACTTGTGAAAATGCAAAAAAATCTACAAAATTGATATAGATAAGGGAATGATATACCCTCTGCTTAAGGCGAGAGAACTTAAACCATTAAATGACTCATGTTAATCACTTTATATTTTGGCACGTTAACTTTTAGTTTTTATGATGTTTCCCAGACTATGAGGCTTTTTTGAAAATGCTTTCTACCAGATATGTGCAACCTCTAGGCTCCTTTTGACTCCTACCCTTATCCTTGTCATCTTTACAGTTTTCTATCTGGCCTGCCTTTGTTGCCCAGAAGAAAAAAAAAAAACTTTACTATAAAAAAGTTACTTCCTGAGTAGGAAGATCCAGGTGTCTGATCTGGGACCTAACGAGTAGTTGCTGAAAGAACTGTGATCTTGGTATTGAAGAAAGGGTGATTTTAGTCTCATTGGAAGGTGATTGATAGCGGGAGAGTAAAGACAACGTCCAATTCTAACCCCAGGTTTTCTCTTCTGTAAACCCAAACTCCAGGGTTCACTCAAGCTTTTACAACTCACTGGAACTCGCGTCCAGAAGCTGAGACAGATAAATGCGCTGACAGCCTGGTGGGGGCCAGAAACGGTTCTAGGCGCGGCTTTTTATTTTTGTTTTTGCTTGTTTGAAGGAGCAGCAAATAAGATACTTCTTTCAAAATCTTGAGAGCTTCACCAGTTACTTTTTTCTTAATGTTATTAATTTCGGCTGTCTAAACACATACAGCCTTAGTATGCCTGTATACCTTTCAAATGTGTGAGCTGCCGGAATCCTTCACATTAGCCCTTAGTTCTTTCTTTGCCACGAGCTCCCCACAGGGGCGGTCCACCTCTGCTGACGTGCATGAGCGCTTTGTCTGCTGGGGGCAGCGTGCTCAGGCAGTGTCAGAAAACACTTGAGTCGCTGTTTCTGGGTTTCTTTAAAAATTGTTTTTTCACTTTTCGGAAACAGTGCAGAGAGGTAAAAAATCACTGTACTTACTGCTTTTGGCAGAGCCACCCAGATTCAGAATTCCAAAGGGAGTGATTTTTGAGTTGAACTTCTTTCCAGTTTCCTATAATGTCTATTTTGTCTCATAAAATTTTTTCACAAATGTCTGTAGGTTTTGCTTAACTCTAATTTTTGCTGCTTGGATACTGTCTTAGTCCATCTGGGCTGTTTGTTAAAATATCCCAGACTGGGTAGCTTATAAACAACAGAAATTTATTTCTCACAGTTCTGGAGGCTGGCAGTCTGAGATCAGGGTTGCCAGCATGGTTGGTTGAGGGCCCTCTTCTGGGTGGCAGACTTCCTTGTGTCTGCACATGGTGGAAGGGGCTAGGGAGCTCTCTGGAGCCCCTTTTTGTAAGGCACTAATGTCATTCATGCGAGTTACACTCTCCTGACAAGCAGCTCCCGAAGGCCTCACCTGCTAATACCATCATCCCCTTGAGGAGTTAGGATTTCAGCCTGAATTCTGGGGGGACACAAACATTCAGATCGTAGCACATGGGTACAGGAGATGAGAGACTGGACCCTCCTCCTGCAGATGCAGCCACGTGCAACCTGTGCACAAGAGAGCTAAGGTCACAGGCCATCTACCCCAAGAGCCCATCAGGATCGGCTACTACTGCAACCCAGAAACAAAACAAGCAGTCCTTTCTCCAATGTGATATTCCTGAGGAGACTAACATAGCAGGTAGACGTCTTAGGAAAAAAATCACCCCAGTAAGTCATTTATACTTTCACACTACACAGTCCTCAATAGACCTTTTGTTCTGAAGATTCATGTATTCGGCAATGAGAAATTATATTATTTCTCTGAGTATTCCTTCTTCAGAGGATTACCAGATTTCTAAGCGGCAATAGTGAGGTCTAGAATATAAGAAGGAAGAATTCCCTTCAAACTTCTGAGAGAAAATTG